CAAATTAACCATCACTCCATCACAAATATGGCGGTGCCCATAGGGGCAGGGGTGGGAAGCTGGCATCTTTGTGTTGGCTACAAGGCCAGTGTCCCATGGGCTGGCCATCAAGGGAGGGAGGGCATCTGGATAGGCAGCATGCTCCCAGCCCAGCAGACACAATTCAGGGCTAGGGTGGACATAATGGGTGTGTGCTCGTGGTGGCCAACACAGGGCTCAGAGCACACCCCCATCCCAGTGGACACAACTGGGCATCTGCACATTAGCTGCAGAGGAAACACCTTTTCTTACAGCTCATTGGCTAATCTGCCTGTATGCCACCACTCACAGTATTTTTGGTATCTTAGGTAAAAAGAATCAAAGAAGGTGTTTTCCACTACACTCCTGGAGGAAAAAACCTAAGGTTTGCTGCTAGAGGAGCTAAGAAATGTCATATTCTGCCCTAGCTAGCTTGGCTCAGTGGACAGAACCTTGTCCTGCTGACCTTAGGGTCTGGGTTTGATTCTAATCAAGGGCTGGGGCCCAGGTCAGAGCTCACGCAGGAGGCAACCAATTGAAGTGTCCTTCTCACATTGATGTTTCTCTCTGTCTTTCCCTCTCTCTTCCAAGCTCTCTACAAATCAATGGAAACATATCCTCAGGTGAGGATAAAAAAAAAAAGAAAAAGTCATATCCTATGAACGACACATCTTGAAAATGCTTAAAGAAAGTTGTCATTTTTTTGTGGTGAAGGGACTGGAGTCCGTGTTGACGAAAACACCTGGGCAACTGTGGCCACAGGTAGTGGCAGCAGCAGCATGGTGATGGGGCTGGCACCTTCCCCTGATCAGCCCAGTCACCTCCCACAGAGGGAGGCCAGACTGTCAGTAGGACATTCCCTCAGGGTTCCCAGTCTGTGAAAGGGGGCAGGTTGGGCTGAGGGGCCTCCCTAATTTTGTGCACAGGGTTTCTAGCAGCAGGAAGATCCTCAATGCAGGAGCTGAGCCCTGATGCTTACTATGGTGGTAGCACCACTCAGCTGACCTATGGGCACAAGACACAGGGCTCATGGTTAGCAAGCATCACTGTGGCAGCACGAGCCTCTTTCAATAGGGAATGGCTGAGCGTGAGCCCATGGTAGGCGCAGCAAGGCTGGGATGAGTGGGACTGGTAGGCAGGAACAGCAGGCAGCATTGGACTGCCCATTTTGGCCCAATTCTTGCAGGCCATGCCGAGGGACCCCACTGGTGCATGAATTTGTGTACTAGACCTCTAGTAAAAATACATATAATTAAAAAAAAAGAAAGAAAGAAAATTAAACAAAAGCTGTCAATGAGAAGGCTAGGAAATCGGAGCTATGAGGTGATGGCAGGCTGAAGCAGAGGCCCCTTGTTGTCCCAGGCCTCCCCAAATCACTAAAAACATGTACCTGTTGGGTAGCCATCTAGAAAAAAAATGCTATATTCTAAGTCTTCCTTGCATCTAAGCATGGCCATCTGACTAGTTGTGGTCAGAGGGATGGAAGTATCATAGCAGCAAATGGAGACCTTTGTGCCTAGAACATGGCACAGCATCTCTTGCATCTCTCCCTCTGCCCTCTGGCTGGATGAAGATACTGGTTTGTTCTATGGGAATCAGTGCAGATCCAGGGCCAGCACAGTGTGTGGCTGTGCTAATTCATGGTTGTTCAACCCACTGGTAAGGGATTTGTGTATCGGGCACATGCCATCTGGGTCTTAAACAATGGTAAGGACACAGCACTGGCCCTGGACAGATGCCATCTAGGTTTAGTTTGAGAGAAAATAAAAACTCTTTATGATTAAACTGCTCTTCACATGGGTTTTGTTTTATATGCAGCAAGCCTAATTCAACATACACAGCTAGAAACATCTACTCAACTCTTTCCAAATTTGTTCGGAAATGTAGCAAGAAATGTAGAATGAAAGTAGCTCTGGAATTGGGAGCATAATCATTGTGTACATTTCTTTCCCCAGTGCATATTGACTCAGATGGAAACCTGACTAGCCACAGTGCAGTTGTGATGAGGGTGGTAGGTTATGGATCTTTCTTTTTTGGGGGAGTGGGGAGGGTCAGTATGAAATATAGCCATAAAAGGAATGGATAAAAGACAACCATATTTTCATTTTCCTTCATACTTTTCTGAACTTCCCAAAAGTTGTTGATGAGCATATAATACTTGCAAAACAACAACAAAAATGTCAACTTAAAAGCATAAATGAAGGTGCAAAGATAAAAGCAAAACTTGTCTAGAACATCATTTTTAGAATCAATATGTTTGTCCATGCAAAACATTATCTCTTAGGCATCCTCTGCATAACCTTACAAGTAGGCACATCATTGCCTTTACTCACGGGGCTTCTGGAGCTGTTTGTCCTGCCAAATCCCCACCTCTCATCTCAAATGGTCTGATCCAGGCCTAGGACTGAGGTACCTTTAAATATAGTCTCTTCCATGATATCATTCTTTTGGTGGAAGTGATAGCTCCTTCCCTAAGTCCGTATAGCATTTCCTATAGCTTGCGACATATCTCTTTTTACATTGTACATTTCATATTTCCAGTACAAAGTTCTCTGGATAAGGTAGCTCTTCTTTATCTATATACTTAGCTATTCATTCACTTGTTCATTTGTGTGATATGCCAGGTCTCTCACAAGATACAAGGAGATATGAGGAAAAAGGGGCAAAGAGTGAACCATGGATAAGAGGAGCTAGAATAGAAAGCAAGATAAATTGAATGCAATATGATAATTTCTAGGGGAGAGAAATGTATACGATGATAAGGTGACAGAATACTTAATTCTATTTGAAGAAAGTCAGGGAGCCCTTCATGGAAGTACTGATTCTTAAATCAATTTTTTACAAGGACTAATAGGCATGTTCCATGTCCTTCCATGGAAACTGGAGGCATGGAAGGACAAAGAAAACTACATGGAGCACATATATACTCTGCAACAGGCATTGAGTCCTATACTGGTTGACCAGACCATACCTTATAGATATTTAGGGGACAGCAATACTATCAATATCACAGTATAATGTGTGTGTGTGTGTGTGTGTGTGTGTATGTGTGTGTGGTTTAATTGCAAAACATGACATTTGGTCCAGTCTAAAATGTCTACACCTAAGAAAACATCTCTGTGTTTAGAAAGCCCATAACACTTATTTAGATTTTTAATTTACATGATTCTATATAATAAAGAGGTAATATGCAAATTGACCCTCACACCCTCGCAGAAGATGACTGCTCCCATTTGGTCAAAATTGGTTGCCTCAATGGCTGCCCCAAAGTGGTCAAATATGGTTGCCTCCATGTGATCAAAGATGACTGCCACAGATGACTGGCAGGGAAAGGCAGTTAAAGGTGACTACGCCGGCAGGGGAGGGCAGTTAGGGGAGACCAGGCCAGCAGGGGAGAACAGTTGGGAAGGACCAGGCCTGCATGGGGAGCAGTTAGGCATCAGTCCAGTTAGCAGAAGAATGGTTAGGGGTTAATCAGGCTGGCAAGCAGAAGCAGTTAGGGACAAGTGGTTGGGAGTCAGCAGTCCTGGATTGTGAAAGAGATGTATGTCTGCCGGTTTAAAACTGGCAGTTGGGACATCCCTTGAGTGGATCCCACATTGGAGAGGGTGCAGGCTGGGCTGAGGTACAATCTTCCCTCCCCCGAGTGCATGAATTTTGTGCACTAGGCCTCTAGTTAGTATATAAAAATACTATCATTTAACTGATCTAATTATTGTGTTATGACTGTACTATCAATAATAACCCTCTTTTTCTCAGTAGCCTAGATGATAATGGTACAAGGAGTGAGGTAGGTAGGTTGGTGTGGACCAAATGTCTCATGGGTACTTTGGACAAGGCCAAATATCAAGGCCCTTTTGCACACTGTGGCTTGTGAGCCACATGCGGCTCTTTGGCCCCTTGAGTGTGGCTCTTCCACAAAATAACCACGTGTGGGCACACTCATACAGTGCAATTGAAACTTCATGGCCCATGCACAGAAGTTGGTTTTCAGCTCTCAAAAGAAATTTCAGTCATTGTACTGTTGATATTTGGCTCTGTTGACTAATGAGTTTGCCAACCACTGGCATAGACCATATTTCTCTGTGACATCTTAGGGCCAAATATCCACTAATCAAATGGAAATAAAATGTATAAGGTATTGTAATGCACTGCCTCAATTTTCTCCTTTCCTCAAACAAGGAGCCTAAATTAATGTTTTAAGTTATTATAGTGTATGCCATTTAAAGAAGAATAGTGTTATGTTTGTACATGTCCAGACCACTGCTGCTCTCAGAGCCTATATAAAAAGAAAAGGAAAAAAAAAAAACTGTCTGGATGCAGTAATGCAGTAAATATGGTCACTCCAATGATACAGCCTCATCCTATTTAAGAAAGAAGTTGCAAAAAGTGAGTTTCCTCAGTATAAAGTTACTTATTGCACTACTCAGTTTGAAATAAGTCATATATTAAATATTAATTAAATAGAATGATCCTAAATAATGAAGGGAGGGAAAGTTATAGGCTCAACTGAGTATAACATTTAATACTATAAATTAATACTTACTGATCACAGTATAGCATACTATTTTCTTTCCTCAAAAAATACAAATAAATATTAATAGATTATATTGTGAGATATAGCCAAACATAAAGATTTGGCTATAATCATATTTTTAAAATGCTTTTGAAAACTTTAAAGGACTAAAATAGTATTCCTGGTTTCTTAAGGGTGTAGCCTAAGAATTAAATTGTTGTGTTCAAAAAAGAAGGAAATTATATTTCAAATGGTAACTACCACTACTTTTCTAATTTCAGCAATTTCTCTATTTTCATATTCAAGCAGTTTTTTTTCTAAATACCAAATAGTTGTAATATGATTTTCTTTATGTTTTAATAAGAAGAGGTGCTATTATGTTTTCTGAAATTTTGTTCTGATGTGTTGCATTCTAAGTAAACTCTACTGATCCGAGTCTAAAGAAGAAAAGAAGTTCATTTCATACCTTCAATAGGTTTTGGTACAAAATGTGACGAGGGCTTGGTTTTCTTCACTCTATTCCCCTTCATAATTTGACCTTCTTTATTGAGTCCCAGAAACCATGCTCGGCCTGATTCTTGCTGACGGTACAATGTGGAAGAATAGATCACGTAGTAGTTTTCAAACACAGATTCCTTAAATTTGCATTCTGGAGTGAAAATATCCTGCAGGGGTAAAAAAAAAAAAAATGATACAAAAGAAAGGATTTTAAAATGAATCAGCAATTACTGAAATACAATGAACCTAGTAATATAGGTCCGCTGTTAAGAACATGTGAGACAGAATTGCACATAATTTCTATTTGTCCTTGGTTATAAATATTCATCATGTAAAATAAAAAAATAAAAAAACAAACAAGATTTTCTTTCTAAACAGCCTTTATCTTTCAGAACACAATAGCCACAACAGCTTTTGCGAGTCACTAGTTGGGCTAATATTAAGACTATTCCCCTGTCCAAATTCTGATCCCATTATGTTTTTGTAAATTTAAAAGATTTGCCATTATACATTTTAGTGTCTGTAAGCATGAAAAATGTATCTCTGAGAATTTAAATCAAATAAGGCAACAGCACACACAGGCTCACTGGATGTTTGTGAAGGGTCTATTCTAGATGTACAAAAACCTATTACACAGCTAAGGCTTGTTCGACTAAATCACCACTATATTTCTTCTTTGCTTAATCTCTGTAACTTCCCCTGTAATTTCTTGGAAATATTTTGTTTGATTTGGTTTTTGCTTTTTATTTAGTAATCAGAATCTCAGGTAAAAAAACAAACAAAACAAAACAAAAACAAAAAACCACCAAAAAAACCCTCCTAGGAATAAGTATAGAAAAAAAAAAGGAACCTGGTGGTGAGCACACAATACAATATACAGATGATGTACTATAGAATGGTATATCTGAAACCTATATAATTTTATTAACCAATAAAACACATGTGTAAGTTCTTGACATTTTTTTTTGCAGAGAATACTTTGACATCATAACTTTAAAAATGTCTACATTTTGGAGTGACACCTAATTGGAATACATTTCTTTTGAATCCTCACCTGAGGTTATATTTCCCCCCTCACCCCATTGATTTCTAGAAAGAGTGAAAGGGAAGTAGGAAGGGGAGAGAGAGAGAGAGAAACATTGACATGAGAGGGGCAGCTGGATTGGTTGCCTCCTACAGGCTCCACTACCCGGGCAGGGGAACATGAAACTAAGGTATGTGCCTTGGACTGGAAATTGAACCTAGGAACCCTTCAGGCCTATACTTAAGCAGTGAGCCAAACTGGCCAAGACAGGAATACGTTTTTGATAAGTAAAGAATGTTATGTGGTTCACTCACAACCACTTTTGCTCCTCTTAGCTTTACCTGCAAAACGTATCTTTTCCAACTCAAGTAAAAATACATGATTTGTCTAGTCCTGTGCAGGTAATTTAATTAAATTGTACCATAACTATGATATCTCTTTATCCCATTCTTTGTAGATCCCCATTTCCTCCTTAAGGCTCTCTCTTTAATAATCCATGGGATGAATGTGAAATGAATAAACAAACACTTGTTACACTTCAGCAATCCTCTCCTTTCTGTTTCTCAAAAAAAAAAAAAAAAAAAAAAGCCCCAAGCATAACACATTTTAAATCCTTCACAACTGACATAACCTTTGTTCTTGAAAACTTCTCTTGAAGTGAGAGATCAAGCTGTGTTAATATGTGCCCTGACCGGGAATCAAACTGTGACCTCCTGATTCATAGGTGGACACTTAACTACTGTGCAATGCAGGCCGAGCTCAACAATTCTTGGCATTAAAAATCTACTTCAACAAAATAATTTGGTGAAAAAACATCATATAATCAGGACTTTTATTCTTGCATATATCTAATTTGTGTTCAAATTGGGTGGATCACTTTCCTTCCTAGATTTCTTGTTCCCCTAAATGTTATAGAGGAGTGTTTGTTCAACCAAGCAATAACAAATGTCACTTTTGACTTGTCTTTTTACACCTTATAATTCAGATAAAATAAATATTGCCCAGGTGGTGTGGCTAAGTGGTTGAGCATCGAAACCAGAGGTCACAGACTGGATTCCCAGTCAGTGCACATGTCTAAATTATGGACTCAATCCCCAGTCAGATGTGTGCAGTAGGCAACCGATAGATATTTTTCTCTCATTGATGTTTCTATCTCTCTAACCCCCTTTCTTCTTCTCTCTACAAAAGAAACAATAATTTAAAATAATAATAATCATTTGTTGACATTAAAGGGCCAATATCAAATATTATTTGAAAATTAATGCTTAGACATAAAAAAGAGTGATAACATATTATGAAGAAAACAAAATGAAAAACATAAACAAAAATATAAACAGAGAAGACAACTTTACTATTATGTATAAGTAATTATGAATAATAATTCTCTACAATTTGTGAATTTTTCAAACATATGCTAGATACAAAGGATCCTCTCATTTTGATCTCTTTCCTTTACAAAAAAAATAAATATACAAAAAACAAAATCTAAGGTTTTTTCAAAAGCATCTTTCCTGTTTTCTGTACAACCTTGTTTATTTTGTAGTGATAAGGAAAAAATAAATAAAACATTTGACAATTCTTAAACACAATTTATGTCAAAAAATGCCAGAGATAGATAGTTCCTTTGATTATGTAACCTTTGCATATTTGGCTGTGGAGCTTCTGGTTTTCTAACTTCATTAAATGGCTTTCAGATGCACAGAACTTGAAAATCTTTGGTATATTAGCAATTGGGTTGTCAAGTGTATTGTCAAACATAATGACATTAAATCAAGCAAGAGAATTATTGTTTTCCATCCTGACAAGAGTCAAAGAAAATGCTTAAATATATTATCTCAAATGAAGCATGTTTAAAAAATATAGAACGAGTCAAATTTTATAACTTTAAAAATACTCTGCAGATATAGAATATTTATCTATGTCCTTTTTAGATAACTTTGATTGGAAAACTGCTGAGATAATTTATCTAATAATAAAGGTTCTTCACTAACATATTCTTTGCAATATTTTATAAGCAACAAGGTAAATTTTTATCGTCAAGAAATAATGAAAACTGGTATAAAGAAAACATAAATGTGGAGAGAGATATACACATAAATTCAAACCTTTGATTTTATAACTTGCACAAGTTATTTCATTTTTCTGAAGTTCGTGTCATCATCTATAAATTGAGACTAATGATACCATCACTATGAGACTGTGATTATTAAACAAGATAATAAAGGTGTGTCTTACATAGTATATAGCATATTATTTACTTTCTTTACTGCTAGTTATAATTTTCAGGTGATAATATGATATGAGAAAAAGTTATCCTGGGTACTACTACAGGATAACTTTTGAGAAAAGTTAATTTATGTATGGACTCCAAATACTGTATCCCGAGTTTATCTTCCCTATAAAAGGCTAATCAAGGCTACTTTGCTTTAGGTTAATTTGATCATTCGTATATAGATCACACAGATAAATCTTACCGTTTCTCTTTAACTGGTAGAAGATGTTTTTGACATAGCTCTAACAAAGACAATGAAAACTTTGAAATTACTAAGGAATTTACTTCATCCCAGTTATCAATTCAAATGAAGACTCTAGCCACACACACACACACAAAAATAATTAATTTAAAAAAAATCAAGAAAAGGCTGAGACTCCGAAGGGCAGCCATGAATGAATTAGGAAAAATCACCTGCAGCAAAAGATTAAGGCTAAGATCTTCCACATCCTAGTATTCCAAATTACAATGTACAGGTGTAAGTAATAGTTGGACAGTGAAGAAGATTAACAGTAAAAAAATGATTCATTTGAAATGTTGTGTAGAAGGAGAACTCTACTAATACCCTGGACTTCCAAACAGACAATCAAGTAAGTCCTAGAGCAAATTGTGCCCAAAACATCATTGGAGGCAAATATGACAAAACTAATAATTCTGTCTTACTTTGGGCACACCATGAAAAGTCAAGGTTCTTTGGAAAAAATAATGCTGGGCAAATAAAAGACATCAAGAAAAGAGGAAAACAAAATATGAGATGGTTAAGTCCTATAAAGGAAGGCATGGGCATGAGTTTATAGAAACTGAGCAGGGAAGTGTTGACATCACTCTTTCATAGAGATGCTGGGAGATGGAGCAAACTCAATGGCACTAACACACAAATGTTTTTGACATGAATCTGAGATAAGTGATGTGTTTTCAGGTTCTTAATCCCTCCTAATAAATCACACGTCCATTCGACTTAGCCTCTAGCCAGAAGACTGCAAGTATAGAAGTGGGGTGGGAGTGGGAAGTGGGAGGCCATTAGGTGAAGTGATGTAACATATTACATTTCACTGTTATCTTCAAAGTTACTTCCTGGAGTCCGAATGTTCTGGAGACAGAGAGCAGTTATTGGGGGAACAGTGCATTTCTCCATTGAAAATATCATTGGTTTTTCTGATGTGAGCACACACGTTGTTACCAAATGCCCCACTATGACTGAGTTTGCAAACCAAGACAACTACACTGAATACCCCAGACACATACAGGAAAGAGGTTTTTTTGCCTCTGATGCTTTGGTGTTTGTCTTCCCTTCTGGGGATAAGAATGAAAGTGGGGGATTTTTTCATATTCCCGTATTTCAATTTAAACATTGCAATACCTTTTGGGAAACCAGTTTGAATACTCCAAAGGGCCCCAGCAATAATCTACTAAGGCTGGAAAAGTGTTTTTTTACATGAAATATCTTTATTTTAAAAACTTCCCGTGTCAGCATCCTGGAAGTCAGAAAATCTAGTATCATACATAACTTCCTGATGGAAACTATGGTAAAACTGTACAAATACATGAGGCAATGGTTTCCTGGTACTTGTCAACTGGAATTGCGGGGCTTTGATCTTTGAGAAAAATAACATACATGAGGTAAGCCCCACATTAATTCTGGCTTTCTGCAAAGGGCTCCTTCTAACCCTGGAATGAAGTATATATACAACTTCTGTTTTTCTTAAATGGAGGAGGCAGATTTGGGATTACAATGTGCCTTGAATTTGTGGACCAAGGTTTCAGAGAAAAGGAACCTAGTGGAATGAGGTAAAGGCTCAATGGGAATTCCCTAAGAACCCTGGGTCTATCCATAGACTCAACATACTCAAGATGAGATTTCCCAAAGCCTA